CTCATGTGGTCTTGATACAAAATGTAACATGTTGTAGTTTTCAGTGAATTCAGACACATGCTATCAGCCATTCCTCCACTGTGCTGTTCCTGTCTGCTGCTGCTGACTGGATGGCATTTCTCTGGGCAGTCGTCACATTGCACACTGATCAGCGCACTGCATGAATTCACCTTAATGGTACTACGAGTAACCCCTGCCCACTCTCTCTGTGTACCTAACAAGAGTTGCGGGGGGGGCTTATGCAGCTAATAACTACCTATGGCTTAGTTAGTATACATTGTCTCTTGATGCACGAAAAATTAGCTTCTACCTGTAAGGCGATGTGAAACATTTATTCAGACATACAGTACAATACAAATACTTCTGCTAATCCAGCCACTTAAAACACTAATGCTAATTATATTTATAGGAAATCTGAATGTGCCTGTAAGTGGACCTGTTACATAAATGCACATTAGAAAGGCTTCATTCTGTTGAAATCTCCATGTTACACTTAATGAGATGAGAGAAGAGAGAACAAAAGGAAGAGGACGAGGATGGAAAAGGGGAGAGACTATGTTGGTGGTTGGTAGTGATGGTGGTATGCGTTTGTGTGTGTCTGTTTGTGTGTGTATATGTGTGTGCGTGTGTGTGTGTGTGAAAGAGGCCTGAGGCAGGACACAAGCTCCACCATCGACTCCCACAGGGGGACACTAATGACACACATCCTGCTTCACAGTGCAGGAGAAGCTCCATGCATCACATCTGCTTCTTATTCTTGCCCTTGTTACACTCCCTTGTTCTCTTGCTTTCCTGCCCCACTATGTCTCTCACACACTCACACAGACGTTCTTAGATTGTGAAATAGGACAAAGGCAATTTGCAGATATGTTTCCCAGAGACACAGCAGTGCACCCTCTTTGACTTCCTGGTTGATAATAAATGAACGGTCGAATGTGTGGCTGTGGGTTGGCTGTACATCAATAATTCATGTGGGTGTTTATGTCGGAAATGCGATTTTGAACGCTTCAACAAGTCTGCATCCGTGTCAGAGTGTCTGGAGGTAAG